AATACCATAGGTGAGGTAGGGATATATTAAAGAGTGGTATAGGGTAAGAAGTGTCGTTTGGGGTACATCGTACCGTTTCTTGGGAAGGATGCCTACTGATTTGGAAATTTCCTTGGATATATGCTGGATGTAGAAATGAAATTTAAGATTACAGTCAAGGTGAATGGGGAAACCATTTATCGATATACGTATTAAGTTGGATATTTAAGGCTCTGTTTCCAAACAGCATGAAGTATGTTTTGTCAATGTTAAGAGTGAGTTTGTCGGTCATCCAAGTAGATATTTTGTGTAGCTCGTTGTTTACAGTGTCTCTAACTATAAATGGGTTTGAGTGGGAGTAGACATAAATAATGTCATCTGCAAATAGAACTGGTTTAAGGAGTCGAGATGCCTAAAGACAGCTTTGCACTGACAGTGCAAGAACCTTTGTCATTTACGTAAACCAGTGATCCAAAACCTTCCACCTCAGCCCAGTACGGCATCTCTATTCCTTTTAAAATCACTGACATACAATACAACCAAAATTTAAGGCAAGAAATATTATTTATGTAACCTTTGTTGCTACCTTTGTAAGAATGTATTAATATAACATATTACATCCAACCATAATTACATTATTATAATTTTTTAAATTATAAGACCTAAATAAATTTGTTTGGCATATGTTCTTCAATTCATTTTACACAATTTTTTTTATTTGCATGCTGGTTTCAAGAACTTTAGCTATCATGTTACTTGACAGTCTACTGTAGTAACTTTTATGTAGTATAATATGGCTTGGCATTTAGAATGTAACCCTATTTTTATATACGTTATTTGTGTCATACACCTCTGTTTTAATTTGTGCAAATTTTCCTGGCAAGTAACCTGTGCATTACTCATAGGTTTACTGTACAATTTTTCTTAGCTAAAGTTTTGTTTATTATATATGCTAGTACAGTAGACCATCATTTAACACAGTAGTTACGTTCCTGAAAACACTGTGTTAAGTAAAACTGTGTTAGATGAACTGAAGAACTTAAGGGAAAAATAGGGTTACATTCCTGGGAGCCCCAAAAAAGTAAAAAGAAAACTTTTTTTTAGGCCTCCACATCTTACAAAAATAAAAGTGAATATGTAATTGTAGTTCATTGTTGTGATGTATTGTGTTGTTTTTACTCTGTAAGATTTCAAATGCAACAGAAATAATACTATTTCTTACCTTAAATTGTGAGTGCTGGTGTTTGTGGATGATTGTGAAGAGAGTGGAGAGTTATGCTGTGGCCCTACTGGGCTGAAGTAGATGGTAGAGGTTCTGGTACTGAAGTCGATGGTTGTATTGGAGTGTGCATAAATTCTGTAATGGACTTCTGTTCTATTTTACCCTACAGTGCATTATACAATTGACAGTAAGACATCAGCTGGTCTAGACACCATTTCATGGTCCTCTTCAGTGAAAAAGTCTAGGTCATTCAGTAAGTCAGTCAAGTCAGTAAGTCATTCAGTCGAGTCAGTAAGTCATTCAGTCAAGTCAGTCAGTCAGTCAAGTCAGTAAGTTATTCAGTCAAGTCAGTAAGTCAATCAGTCAATCACATGAACTCATGTTTACCTCATTTTATGTGCACAAAGGGAGCTTCATTATGGCCGTAAGTTATCCCTTGTCTAATACAGTGGACCCTCAGCCAGCGATGGCATCGATTAATGATAAATCTGACTAGCGATACATTTTAACGCAAAAATTTTGCCTCGACTAGCGATTAAAAACCCGACCAGCGCTATTCGTTCCGTACGAGATGTGTCCACTTTGGCCTGAGCGCGCCTCACTTGTCCCGTGGGTGCCAGTGTTTACAAGCCAGCCACCGCGGTCGCTTCCAAACATACAACTGGAACATTTCATATTATCACAGTCTTTGTAGTGATTGCACCTGCAAAATAAGTCACCATGGGCCCCAAGAAAGCTTCTAGTGCCAACCCTACAGCAAAAAGGGTGAGAATTACTATGGAGATGAAGAAAGAGATCATTGCTACTATTGTGGGCAAGAAAATGGCAATCAAGGAAGCTGTTCTTGCCAAAGGTGCAACTATGTTTTCGAAACTGAGATCGCAAGCGGTAGAAGATGTTGAGAGACTCTTATTGGTGTGGATAAATGAGAAACAGATAGCAGGAGATAGCATCTCTCAAGCGATCATATGTGAAAAGGCTAGGAAGTTGCATGACGATTTAATTAAAAAAATGCCAGCAACTAGTGATGTGAGTGAATTTAAGGCCAGCAAAGGTTGGTTTGAGAGATTTAAGAAGCGTAGTGACATTCATAGTGTGATAAGGCATGGTGAGGCTGCCAGTTCGGACCACAAAGTGGCTGAAAAATACAGTGGACCCCCGAATAACGATTACCTCCGAATGCGACCAATTATGTAAGTGTATTTATGTAAGTGCGTTTGTACGTGTATGTTTGGGGGTCTGAAATGGACTAATCTACTTCACAATATTTCTTATGGGAACAAATTCGGTCAGTACTGGCACCTGAACATACTTCTGGAGTGAAAAAATATTGTTAACTGGGGGTCCACTGTATGTGCAGGAATTCAAGGAGTACACAGACAGTGAAGGACTGAAACCTGAACAAGTGTTTAATTGTGAAGAAACGGGCCTATTTTGGAAGAAAATGCCAAGCGGGACGTACATTACTCAGGAGGAAAAGGCACTCCCAGGACATAAGCCTATGAAAGACAGGCTTATTCTGTTGATGTGTGCCAATGCTAGTGGTGATTGCAAAGTGAAGCCTTTATTGGTGTATCACTCTGAAACTCCCAGAGTGTTCAGGAAAAACAATGTCGTCAAGGCTAATTTGTGTGTGCTGTGGAGGGCAAACAGTAAGACATGGGTCACTAGGGACTTTTTCTATGACTGGTTACACCATGCATTTGCCCCCAATGTGATAAATTACCTAATTGAAAAGAAATTAGACCTTAAGTGCCTCCTGGCATTAGACAATGCTCCTGGTCATCCTTCAGACTTGGCAGAGCGACTTTCTAGGACATGAGCTTCATTAAGGTGAAGTTTTTGCCTCCTAATACCACTCCTCTCCTACAGCCTATGGACCAGCAGGTCATTTCCAACTTCAAGAAACTGTACACAAAAGCTATGTTTGAAAGGTGCTTTGTAGTGACCTCAGAAACTTAACTGACTCTAAGAGAGTTTTGTAAAGATCATTTTACCATCCTCAATTGTGTAAACATTATAGGTAAGGCTTGGGAGGAAGTGACTAAGAGGACCTTGAACTCTGCTTGGAAAAAACCGTGGCCAGAATGTGTAGACAAAAGGGATTGTGAAGGGTTTGAAGCTAACCCTGAGAATCCTATGCCAGTTGAAGAATCCATTGTGGCATTGGGGAAGTCCTTGGGGTTGGAGGTTAGTGGGGAGGATGTGGAAGAGCTGGTGGAGGAGGGACAATGAAGAACTACCACTGATGAGCTGCTAGATCATCTTGAACAGCAAGAGGGCCAGACCTGAGGAAAACTGCTTCGGAGGAGGGGATAGAGAAATTGAAGAAGTTGCCTACTTCTAAGATTAAGGAAATGTGTGCAAAGTGGCTTGAAGTGCAAACCTTTTTTGATGAAAATCACCCTGACACAGCTACTGCAAGCCGTGTTGGCAACCTGTACACTGACAATGTTGTGAACCACTTTAGGAAAGTCATAAAGGAACGAGAGGTACAGGTATCTATGGACAGATATGTTGTGCGACAGAAGTCCAGTGACTCTGAAGCTGGTCCTAGTGGCATTAAAAGACAAGGGAGTAACCCCAGAAAAAGATTTGCTACCTCAAATGCTAATGGAAGGGGATTCCCCTTCTAAACACTAAGATGATCAACGGTCTCCCCTCCTCCCATCCCATCAATCATCACCAGATCTTCAATAAAGGTAAGTGTCATGTAACTGTGCATGTCTTCTTCAGTTTGTGTGTATTAAAATTAATATTTCATGTGGTAAAATTTTTTTTTTTTTCAATACTTTGGGGTGTCTTGCATGGATTAATTTGATTTCCATTATTTCTTATGGGGAAAATTAACTTGACTAACGATTATTTCGATTAACGATGAGCTCTCAGGAACGGATTAATATCGCTGGTTGAGGGTCCACTGTATCTCTGTTTTCTTTGTAAATTATAAGACTTAAATGCTTATTCCTTTTTCCTCTCTGACCGCGGGTTCAATCCCGGCCGGGGTATGGTTTGTTTGCAATCGTGTCATTACGATTTCGTGAGTCATGTTGACGGCAGTGAAGGGACTTGAGCTAGAGTTCGTCACGGCCACGCTAGCTGGAGATTCGTCTGTAAAAACTTGCATTTGTGGTCACAGTGGTGCCTGTGCTAACCTTCCTATGGTGTAGAAATATACCTAGTTGGTCTAGTGGCTAACGCGACGGGCTGGAGTTTTGAGACTCTCTGACTGCAGGTTCAATCCCGGCCGGGGTATGGTTTGTTTGCAATCGTGTCATTACAATTTCGTGAGTCGTGTAAAGCCTAGATGTAACTAATGAACAGAGGAAATGTTATTTTAGTGCTTGCATTGTTTATTCTGAACCTTATTTTGAAATTGAAATGTTTTCAAATTTGTGTGAAATTGGCCAAATTACCAATTTCTGATCACTTTACTGAGTAGTTGAAACAGTTGATTGGGTGATTTCTTGTGCTGAATTGATAAAATACGTATTAGACGAACTACCAAAAATCTAAGAATTTAGTTGACTGGAACAGTGTAATTGGCCTAAAATAGGACTCAAAGTGGGCAAAATTGCCGATGCATAAATATTGCTGACACAGCAAAATTCGAGACAGTGTAATTTCATCAATTTTCGATCAGATTTTGTACTTTTTGTTTTATTATGTTCTGAAAAAGATTCTCTACCATTTCATAAAAAAAAAAAAAAAAAATGAAAATTCTTGGACAGTGTGGACAAGTTTCAGATCGGGGATCTGGACAGTGAAAGGGTTAATGTATAAAAAAGCTCTTGCTCACCTAAACTTTTTACATCAAGGCAGTAAGTCTCAATATCATCAGCACATACAACAAACACCCCTGGTCCAAGCAGCTCACAAAATGGAAGGTACATGGCTAGCTTGAGGTCAAACATCTGTGGAATAGCAGAATCCATTCTCAGTCCTGCAATAAATAGGTAGAAGTAATTAAAAGGCATAGAGAAGTTGCTATATTTGGAATATGACAAAATGTTAAGATTTTTTTTAAGCATTATTTAGTAATTTAAAATTATATCTATTTTGATTATTTTTTATTAATTTTTTCCATAGATTATTGTGCTTTTAATCAGTGATATTCACTTTGTCAGTAACTAAAGAATTATCCTTGTGATTGGCTTCAAAATATTATTGATGATTTATTTTATGGCTGCCCATGACATGATCAAGCAAACCATTCCAGTATCTTATTGCTGTGTAACAGGGTATATGAGGCCTAGCCACTTACTGTGGGAACAGAATTCTTTTCACTTTCCCTAGTATAATACTGGTTTCAATTCTTAACCTTCATAAAATTGGAAGGTATCCTGGACACTGGTTGTTAAAAAATTGTATATACAGTGGACCCCCGGTTAACGATATTTTTTCACTCTATAAGTATGTTCAGGTGCCAGTACTGACCGAATTTATTCCCATAAGGAATATTGTGAAGTAGATTAGTCCATTTCAGACCCCCAAACATACACGTACAAACGCACTTACATAAATACACTTACATAATTGGTCGCATTCGGAGGTAATCGTTATGCGGGGGTCCACTGTATATGAGTTTGTTTGAACTACTGTATCGTACAGTAACAGCCTGGTTGATCAGACCCTGATCCACCATGAGGCCTGGTCTCAGACCGGGCCGTGGGGGCATTGACCCTCGAAACCCTCTCCAGGTAAGCTCCAGGTTCTCTATCTGCCACCTTTAACATTTCCAATTATGATAAATCATATTGATCTAAAAGTTTTTTTTGACTTGACCCAAGAAGAACCTCACCATCTTATTTTGGGCAATTTGTAATTTTTTTTTTTTAGTTAGGGCAGAGTACTATAAAGAACAGGAATAGACAACACTCTATCAGCTTAGTCTAGAGTTTTACATGTCTCAGCTGGTAGGTATTGTGTCTGTCTAGAGAATAACTTTATTTAACCTTGCATTACTTTTTCTGATAAACTGTTAACTACAAGTATTAATTCACTTGACATGCTCAAATCAAAAAAATATTTCTAGGTATGTTACAGTAATACGTAAGTAGAATATGAATGTACGTATTTTTCTTCTTTCACATAATGTAAACATTGTAGTAAAAGAGTAGAGTACAGTACTGTATATACATAGGGAATTAAGTTTTAGTTTTAGTAAAAATGGTTTGAAAGGGGTGGACTGGTAAGCCAGCGGAAGGTCTCGGTCAGATGACCAAAAGCTCCAATGGCGGATCATCATCTGACTAAGACCCACATCAGGAAACACTTGTCCTGTTTCCTGACGAACTTTACCTAACTTATTGGCTTAACATTATGTATACAAAAGAAATCTTACCTTGGATAGGAACTGGTGCAAATATCTTGCCCAGGACACTGTAACTGGGCAACCTTTGACTACTGCCACCTAAAACATTAAGACACAATTTAATCCATGTACAGTAACTTGCTTTTCATTGCATTTTGCTTTAGCTACCTCTCAAGGGAAGTTCCTTGATGTTGGGAAGGGACTCTTGACCCAAGGAATCAGACTAGTTCCCCCCATTCCTTGGTTCAAACTTGATTGCCTCCTATTCTTCAGTTGCTGTATGATCCATATGAGTTTGGCACTTCTAGCTAATTACAATGATACTGTAATATACAGTAAGGCCCCATTTTACAGCATTCTGCTAATACAGTGATTTCAAATTATGACCAAAATTTGCTATACAGCGAGCGGTCTTTCTAATATGGCATGCCCCACCCAGTTTGTTTACATTCTCCGTGAGCACATCTATTATGTCTGGAAACTTTCCAAAATTTCAAGTGTTTAAAAGCTATTGCATATTTTATATGTACATTATTATTATTATTATTAATTTTTTTATTATTATTAACACACTGGCCGATTCCCACCAAGGCAGGGTGGCCCGAAAAAGAAAAACTTTCACCATCATTCATTCCATCACTGTCTTGCCAGAAGGGTGCTTTACACTACAGTTTTTAAACTGCAACATTAACACCCCTCTTTCAGAGTGCAGACACTGTACTTCCCATCTCCAGGACTCAAGTCCAGCCTGTATATGTTCGTACTCTGATAATTATACTTATGTGTACCTGTACCTAAATATACTTACTGTGCTGGCATGCTGGTACACATTAAAATCACTAAGAGTATCTCTACTCTTGACGCCATATTAATAATATGTTATCTCTTGGGCGTATCAAATGTTGTATATTATGTTAATATAGACATTTCCATTAATCCATCTATATAATAATCCATTATATAATAAACATGCTACATAACATATAAGCATGATAAATACTTCCCAAAGTATAATAAATTAGCATAAATATGAGATGTGGTAGCCAGGCGACTTGTAGGACTTGTGGTAGCCAGGAGACTTAGTCCAACATCAGAGAAAATGTGTGCACTATAATATTACGGGGGTAACTAAACAATTACAGTATTCCTTTCGTACATAAGTTTATTCACATATACACAAATACAGTTACACATAGATTGTCATGCATAGCAGCATTCCTAGCTCATCTCCCGCAACATACTAAACCCCTGTCAGTTTGGGCTCAGGCCTAATAAAAATACGAATGATGCTATTATACACATGCTAGAACTAATATACAATGCACTCGAGAAAAAAGAAGTCCTATTGAGAATCTTCATTGATTTACATAAAGCTTTTGATACAGTGACCATGATTTGTTGCACATAAAATTATCACACTATGGTATAAGAGGGCACTCCCTCAACTACCTAAAGTCATACCTCAGCAACAGAAGCCAATATGTGTGTGCACAAATGGAGCTAACTCTTCCACACAACCAATTACACTTGGTGTCCCACAGGGAGTGTCCTTGGCCTACTCCTTTCTCATTTACATACATGACCTACCAAATGCATCTCAACTACTCAAACCCATACTGTTTGCAGATGACACTACATACATCTTCTCTCACCCAAACCCAGTCATGCTAGCCAATCCTGTAAATGCTGCATTACAGAAAATATCTACCTGGATGATGATTAACAAGCTTACTCTCAATATTGAAAAAACCTACTTCATTCAGTTTGGGAACAGAACCACAAATGTTCCACTTAACATAACGATAAACGGTTCATCTGTCACAAAGCTCACGGGGGAAAATTCTTAGGAATCCACCTTGATAATTGACTCATTTCAGACACATGTACAACAAATTTCCAAGAAAATCTCCAAGACTGTAGACATACTATTGAAGATACAGTACCATGTTCCACAATCAGGACTCCTTGCCCTGTATCACTCTCTCATTCACCCCTATCTCACCTATGGAAGCTGTGCATGGGGCTCAACAACAATAAATCATCTCAGACCATTAATTACCCAGCAAAAGGCTACAGTCAGAATGATAACAAATTCCCACTCCAGGCAGCATATTTCACCAATATTCAAAAGCCTAAACTTGCTCACCATACAAAACATCTATACTTATGATTGTGCCTACTACATACATAGAATACTAAGCTCAGATATAAACCCTCCCCTCAAACTTCTCCTTACCAACCTCAACAGAACACATGACCATAACACAAGACACAGATCACTCTTTGATGTTCCCCGTGTCCATCTCACACTATGTAAAATCTCAATGCACATAAAAGGCCCAAAAATTTGCAATTCATTACATGTGAATACCAAAGAAACACTATGTTTACCAATTTAAGACTCAACTTAAAAACCACTTACTCACCCAAAACTAAACACACAGTATTTAACCTTACCTACAAAGTTAACAAATCACTTTCTACTGCCTCAAAAGATCATTACACACTGTGTTATTCCCTAGCCACAGAACCCTATAATTAAATGCTCAAAGATCAATAAATATTGAATAACTTATGTATTTCATAATTGTATAACCTGTGACCTTATGAAAATATATTTCTAATTACATTGTCTAAAAGAATAATCCATTCTCTTGAATGCACAGTAACTCATCTACTGACCATATGAACTGTTTCTGCACTACAAATCATTGATTTTATTCGATTTGATCTGATTAATAAATTGTACGACTACATATAGTAAATTGATCATTTTGTTATGTTATACATTGTAATGCTACAAATTTGTGCAACTATAATGCTTCAAAATTGAAATGTTCAAATTTCATTGTTTAAAATACTCAATTGTACTTCTTATTGTAAACTGTTGACTGTAATTTTTACCATTGAATCTATTATAGCTTAGTTAATTTTAAGCCTGCCCATAATGTTCTGCATACAAGGGGCTTTTGGCATATATACCCAACTATAATAATTCCTTGTACAACTATGTATCATGTCTTAATAAACTATCTATCTATGTGTAGAGAACCTAGGATAACCCAAAAAAGTCAGACAAAGTGACTTATTTTCATATGCCTTCACTCAGTGTCATTTCTTCTAAGAAAGGTGTTATATGAGAATGGGAGTGTTTCCTCTTTATTTACTCTACTGTATCAATGTGGAGACTACTCGTACACAATGTAAAGTGTTTGTATGGAAATAAGTCACTTTGACTTTTTTGGATTATCCTAGGTTCTCTACACATATGCTGCTATGTATGATAATCTATGTAACAGTATTTGTGTGTATGTGAATAAACTTAATTATGGTATAATACAGAAAGTGTATGAATGAAAACCAAACACGTTTGCCTGGTTTGTTTACATTATGTATGGGTGGGGTGGGGTGGGGTAGGGAGGGGTGGGCTTCCCTGGCTGGCTACCACACTTCACAAACCTCAAATTGTTCGTAAGTTGACTGTTCAGTACATGGAACCCAATATCTCCTAGAAACCCAGCAGAAGGCAGCAGTAAGAATGATAACAAATTCCCACTCCCGCCAGCATACTCCACCAATTTTCAGAAGTCTGAATCTGCTAACCATTAAGAACATCCATACTTACTCATGTGCCTACTACATACACAGAACAATACATGCAAATACACCTACCATCCGACTTACGACCTGCTCAACTTACGACCGTGTTTTTTTTGCCAAATTTCTGGGAAATAAACAACTATTTGTGTTGTACACAGTGTTTATCCTAAACCTTACAGTATAAAATACAGTACTAACAGCATAAAAAGTAAAGTAAAACATGAAATACCAAAGTAAAACAAAATAAAGTCATTACAAAAATGTGATGTTGATATTCAGTAGTAAAGTTCGACTTACGGCCATTTCGACTTACGACCGGTTTCTCGGAACCGAACTCGGTCGTAAGTCGAATGGTAGGTGTATAAGCCCTCCACTCAGACTTCTCCTCACCAACCTTAATAGGACACATGACCAGAACACAAGACACAGATCTCTTTTTGATATACCTCGTGTCCATATCACACTGTGTAAAAACTCTATGCACATAAAGGGCCCCAAAATATGGAATTCATTACCAGAAGATATTAAAGTAACCCAGTCTGAAAATCAATTTAAAACTCTTCTCAAAAGCCACTTTATCACCCTAGACTAAATGCTAAATACTCAGTACACACAGTACACATATGTACTCCCACATAATAACTTCAACAATCACTTTGAACCTTTTATCCATTGTTGACAGGAATATAATTGAATCATTGTTTTCACAAAAAGCATTTTTGAATATATGAATATAAGAGTATATAGAGAAAAAGAGAGATGTTAAGAGAGTGGTGAAGTAATGTAAAAGGAGAGCAAATGAGAGAGTGGGTGAGATGTTATCAACAAATTTTTTGAAAATAAGAAAAAGTTTTGGAGTGAGATTAACAAGTTAAGGAAGCCTAGAAAACAAATGGATTTGTCAGTTAAAAATAGGAGAGGAGAGTTATTAAATGGAGAGTTAGAGGTATTGGGAAGATGTAGGGAATATTTTGAGGAATTGTTAAATATTGATGAAGATAGGGAAGTTGTGATTTCATGTATAGGGCAAGGAGGAATAACATCTTGTAGGAGTGAGGAAGAGCCAGTGAGTGTGGGGGAAGTTCGTGAGGCAGTAGGTAAAATGAAAGAGGGTAAGGCAGCCGGGATTGATGGGATAAAGATTTTTTTTTTATTATTATCACCACACTGGCCGATTCCCACCAAGGCAGGGTGGCCCGAAAAAGAAAAACTTTCACCATCATTCACTCCATCACTGTCTTGCCAGAAGGGTGCTTTACACTACAGTTTTTAAACTGCAACATTAACACCCCTCCTTCAGAGTGCAGGCACTGTACTTCCCATCTCCAGGACTCAAGTCCGGCCTGCCGGTTTCCCTGAACCCCTTCATAAATGTTACTTTGCTCACACTTCAACAGCACGTCAAGTATTAAAAACCATTTGTCTCCATTCACTCCTATCAAACACGCTCACGCATGCCTGCTGGAAGTCCAAGCCCCTCGCACACAAAACCTCCTTTA